TACGCATTCAAATATGGGGGCAATGCCTACATGGCACCTTCTATTACATTGATCATGATTTTGATTTTTGACTGCCATAACTTTTTAGAACAAGGGTATATTAGTTTTTTGCCTTAGCTTTAATTTCCTTGTACAAAAAAATGTACATGGTTTTGTTTCAATGAGTAGTTTTATCTCAGACAGAGAGTAGAGTAGATTTTTAAACAGTCTTTCTCTCTCTAGGGTTTTTTTTTGTTATTACCATAATTTTTGGCAACGAGGCAAGCAGCCCCTGCCCAGTGACGTGCCCACTACTGGCCACTTTTTGACCAGGGTTGAGGACATCTTGGCCGCGCCTGACAAAGAAGACCTACAGATAACTTTAATATTTAGGCGCAAAATATCTGTAAATACTTCGGGCGTATACCATGGTAGACGTTTCTCGAAAAATAATTTTGTCAGACTGTATTTAAGATTTATAACATCCTTACTTTTTTTATTACTCGCACTCCAGTAGTGGAGCACATGTGCGTTTTTTTATTAATCAATATATTGTGATTCATTTAATATCTTGTTTATTTGGCTCTCTCTGAGTGTACTATTACTTAAATTTCTCCTTTTGTGTGGTGGTCAGGCAAAACAAGTTCCGACTAACATCTCGAGGAGTTGTGGCTTAATCCGTCCTAAGTCTTCTTAATCCCCCTACTCTCCGCTTTATTGAGCTAGAGCCTAAATTTATCATTGTGTTTTATAAATTTACCAAAAAAAATGAGTAGCAAGATAACTACTGTGCCAAGGATGCAAAAGCGTTGTAGTTTTTGAGAATCGGTCCAGAGGCGGCAGAAAGAAAGTCCATATATGGAAAAAATAAAATTGGCTCTAACTTCTTTTTTTATCGTTTGAGATACTCCTGATCATTTCTAGAAAAATGCTTGCTTGGGCTTGAAATCGGGGGTTAGGGGTTGTAGGGAGTGGGGAGAATATAACTAATTTTTTTGGCAGCAGTATATTTATACTTATGCTTCCAGCTCCGGTAATTTCACGCACTTATTAGTACATATTTCCCATATCCTAAGTTTCCCAGTACGTTTGCTCTTTAAACAGAAATATTTACAGTAGCGATTCGCGGCCTGTCGGGATGATGACAACCTGCACCCGCCAGACATCTGACTGCATCGTCGAGAATCTCAAGTATCGTGGCATGGTTTACTGGTGTGGCTCAGCACTGCTGCCAAATGGTCGATACCTTGGTCAAAGAGGAAACTAGCGTTAGCATTAAAAAATGGATGGCGACTATGGAGCATGATTGTATGGACCTGTTTGGCTATCTTGATCCATTTAATTTTTTTGATGCCACTTTTTTATATTTCGCTTATCATCAATGACACTTCAACTTTCGCGCAGCTAAAATTCTAAATGGAACTATGTCAATGGGTGGGAACTAGTCCTTCTACTTGATTCCAATAATTTTTTTATCGATTCAAATTTCCGATCTACCGTAAGTCTTGACATGCTTCCTATAAACATAAAATTACCTATAGATAACTAACCAACATACATGATATTTTATACGTATATTATACGTAATAGTCGTGCTGTGAAATAATAGCCCTAAAGTCTTCTGCAGTAATTTCAGTGCAGTTACCAACTAAACATATACAAGTAAACCATGTTTCAAAAATCACCTCGCATCAATATCGTATCAGCACCAACTAAAGCACTGATATATTCAGGATTCGCACCTTTTATCAACCAGAAAAATGGATTGAGAGCCATATTTGGTGGAATAATTGCTCTGGCAATTCACCTAAGTATTGCATACGTCTCCGCTAATGAGCGGACCCCAAACAGTACAGACACTAAAATGACATATTCATTCGGGACTTTTTTACTGTCTTTCGAAATGCTTTTTGTGATTTTTGTTATCTTCTACGTAAACCTTTACAACTTAGAGAACTGGAAACAGATGGTGCAGTACGAAAAAGTTATGAATAAGCACATTTATGATATGTGTAAAAAAAGTAAGAATCGATCTTCGTGGCTTCATACAGTTAAAACGGTCTTTCTTTACCTAAGTTGGATTCTGACTTTGACCGCTAGGCTGGTTGATGTAATACGTCTCAGAAAACTGTACTTATTGTTCGGATTTTGGATCCTCTACCTCTCACATTCCCTGTCCTGTTATTTCCTCAATCTACAAAAACGAATGAGTGATGTATATGAGGATATGGAGTACTTTCTTGCAAATCATTCAGTGAAAAATAGTATATTTGCTGTAGAAAAGGTTACAGCTTGCTACAGAGCAGCCTACTTTTTGATGAAAAAGCAAAATGATATATTTGGACAAGTTTTCTTCTGGCAAGTATTCCTGGTTATTACTTTCATCTTATGTGGTTGTCTATTTGCCATGTCTGGACGTTTGGATACTCTCAGTATAAAGGTGTATTTTGGTTCAGGAACTTGTGCATTTTCTGTAAGTATAGATTTCAGCCGAATTTAAAATTACATCTTTTTGCTCGTAGATGTTCGCAAACACAAATGCTCCCTTAAACCATAATACATTTGCACACATCATTGTTTTAACTACAACATTGGTTCAGACAATTACGCTGTGTGTTGAAAATATTTGAGCATGTGGATAGGGAATCTAACAGGCAGAGTAGGAACTTTCACTTGCTGTAACAAATCTGTCATTAATTTTGTCTTCATGTTCACCGTGAATTAAACAAATTACCATTTTAAGTTTCACTTCTTTAAATTAGTAAGTATTATTCAGAGAGGCTTCTAATAAGGTTCCATTACCCCAATTCAAATAGATGAGGTTTGTGAACCTTAAAGTACTGCCAGAAAAAAATGTAGTGTTATTCAACTTTTTCGTCCTTTGACTGGTCAAAAATTCACTACAAATGAATGTATAGAGATAAACTGATCGCTAGTTTGTACTGACGTACGACGTCTCGGCAAAGTTCTGCGCTAGCTTGAGACTTATTTACTATAAAACGTATATATACGTATACATTTTTTTCTGGTTCCTTGAAGGTAGACAGGTACACGTTCATTATAAAAACAACATTTATGTTCCATGCACTACGCGATGGTAGGTACTTAAATGGGCCATTTCAAAAACAGTGCCAGGCTCCTTGATTTAGTTTCTTCCCATATACGCGTGCTATATCCACCAAAATACCAATTTTAATTTCACAAACCTCAAAAATAAGGCTACTGGTGAATACAGTATACAGGCCTTATCCGCTTTGTTAGAACTTACTTATTTAACTTCCATCTTATGGCCGCTCAGATGCGTGGCTGACATTCTCTCTGGACGCGAGGCATCCATCGTAATCCCACAAAGTCAACAAGGGTGTCCCCCAGACTGCGACATCCTCCCTCTTACATATCATTGATCTTCTTTCCTGTACGATCAATCCAAACCACCGGTTTGCTGATGACAGCACTCTACCTATAGGAATTCAGAATGACAGGCCGATCTCAGTCGGTAAGTTGGAAAAAAGAAGACTAGCAGGTACTTCCTCTCTGACGATGGACCTGGAGGTTTTCATTGATGGGGACGTAACAATCTTGTACAGTTTAATGTTTCCAAAATACAGTACCATATCTTGACAAACAAGAAGCGGGCTAGCACTCATCCGGTTTCGATGGATACCCGAGTTCATCGAGAGAGACTTGATCTGACACGAACACATCTCACAACTGGTGGGAAAAGCTAGGATATTTGTTTAGGGCTAAGAAGTACTTTGCTCCACATGACCTCCTCACTCTGTACAAGGCGCAGATAAGATCTAGTCTCGAGTACTGCTCACACGTTTGTGTTGCTGCCACACCGACTAAATTATCCATGCTCGATGCTGTCCAACCGATCGATGTCTCTTCTCTAACAGACTGTTACGAAAAGACCCCTTCGCACCGGCGCGGCAAAGGCGCGCCGTCGGCGATCTAGCTCTCTGTATCGCTACTCTAATGGGCTTTGACACCCAGAACTGGCCGATACGACCGCTCCTTTGCCCCTAGGGTATCAAGATTGTGGAACAATCTATATGAGGAGGCCTTTCCCAGTTCCAATAACCCTAGGCAGTTTAAAAATCGGATTAACAACGTTTCTTTAAGCTCCTCAGAGCAGCTGCGGTGCACTGGCATTTAGCCTTCTGCCTGCAGGCTGTTTCTGTACAAAAAAAACTTATTTAAGTTTCCTTGCCGCTTAACACAACCATTGACTAGATCCTCATTTGTATCACAACGCCTGTTTTGGGATGTTATATGACACGAAAAACTGTCATTTATTTCCGTCGGTCTGTCTTTCGATCTGACTGTCGCCTAATCCTTGGCCCGCCTATAATTTCGAAAGTACTACTCAGATTTGGATTACTACTAAGCCAAGGATGGAAAGCTGGACAGTTTGTGGAAATCGGTCCAGTGGCGGCAGAGAAAAAGACGGAAAATGAAGGAATATAAATTGCTTTGTTTTTTGACGTTTCAGAGAGACCTGAATTTTTAGGGGTGAAAAATAAGGGGATGGTAGAGGGTGGAGGAGCGTATATCTCAATTATTTATATTAGTACATTTGGTCTGACGATATAAAAATAATAATAACAATCATCATAATAGTAATGGCCTTTATTTAGATCGGCGAAGTACAGCTTGACTGTTGCTCTTCTACATAATCCGCATCGAAAACAGCATTCTCTGATACCATAGTAGATAACGCTACTTCATTTTTGAGAATCTATTCAGACAGATTCCAAATTCTATGTTTTTGTGCTTATATGTGGAAGAGCGCGGATTGACAACTAATGGTTGTCAATCAAGCGAACCTTGCCGTTTGCTCACTGCATCAGATTTATGTACTTTGTCTTTTTCTGTACTTACATGAGCAATAAAAGCAATTTATTATTATTATTATTATTATTATTAGTATATCGTTTTTTCAATTCTGGGGCATAGTCAAAAACTTATTTTGAAAGTTTAGGATTTTAAGATATTTAAAAATTCCACTATTTTTTAAGTGTCTAATCGCTTTAGGCGTAGTCAAAAAGTTTTCGAGAGAAATTTGATAGTGCACTTTTTGAATTAGTCATCTTGATAATGATACTCAAAGGGCATTTGCGTATTGAGGGATTCCAAATTATACATATGTGTTTGAAGATAGACTTACATGAACGCATATTAAGTAGAAAGTCAACCTATATGATTTTTTGCAAATAACCAAAAAATAATAATAGTAATAGTAGGAATAACAGTAATAGTTTAATATGGATTTACACGTAACTGTTTCTAATAATCCATACATCTAGATGAATCTGATTGTTTAGAAATTTGAGTGTCACAACCTTCAATTTACTTACCATGCACAGAGAAGCAAATTGTTTTGACCACACCTGATTGTATAATGTTTATTCCTATGATTGAGAAAAGCGTGTGATATACCAATTCACAATGACAAAGAAAACAGGACACCTAGTAATTTTTGATATACAGTTAGACATATGTTGGGAATAAGTTGACTATAGGCGAAACTACGAGTATATACTATATGAAAATTGCATCCGAAGGTATCCGAATCTAGAGCTGTCCAAATAAAGTCAAAGCATGTGTCAAATCATCTTAGCCAAATTCTCAGATTGATCGATTTTTTTGGAAGATCACTTTTTTGTGCGCAGTTTTGCTCGTAATTTTGAAAAATCACCACCGTGACATTGTTCTGTCGTACATAACCCGTCGTCCATACCGCAGACAGGCGTATCTGACAAAAAATCAAATTCAAGTTACTGGATTCAAATCAACAATGTATGTACAGGTATATAGCATATCTTCAATCCCGTAAAGTGGCGTAACTCTAAGTAGAGATATCAGAAATCATGATCATATTCTCTAAAGTAGGAAAGATATATGAAATCAAATAACTATCGATATTCATTTTGCTTCTACTGAAAATTTGTTTAAAATCAGTTACGCCTGTTTGCGGTATAAATGACGAACCGCCATTATTTGAATTTATTTTTCGAGTTTTTGATTGAGTAACGAAAATTTCACAAAATCCTCTGTATATCAGTGCCTTTTTGCTTTCTTTTCGGATTCACTAACAAATCATGAATTTTTTCCCGGAAAATTGCCAAAAATCGGAGAAACCGCATTGTAGCTAATTTTTCCAATCTTAGATATTTTTAGAGTAGGATATCATAACTTGACTAACCAAAAGCTCAATCTGTATATGTTTTTTGTGCATCTTCTATATATATTATTCTCTCACATGACAAGGGGCCGTAAAAAGTATTTTCGAAAAAGCACGTTTTTGAGGTTAGGTGCCCCTAGGGGCGAGGCGACCTATCGATCTGAAAATTTGGCCGAGGTGATACCAATATACCTTAGTCTGGATTGATAATAATTTGGATGCCTTTGGGAGCAAATTCCCTTTTCAACGGTCATAGGGGCTAAAATTACATCTAGAGGTTATTTCAAGGTCAATTGCTGTTCTTTCATGGAATGTTGTGAATCAGCGGATAGCTTTAATGCGAAAATTGCAGGCCACCCAATGGAACATCTGATGGTAATCTTCATTCTGACCGTAGCTATGATCTTAAACGTCAATTCAAGGTCAATCCGATATTTTTTACATGCGCCATTTGATTTCCAAAAACCCCTGTATCCAAAGGTTTTTCTAGCACCCTGCTGTGCCGTCATGTCCATAAGGGAAACTGGAGGTGACAATACTATATTTAATGGCTCCCCAAACTCCTACAGTATGGTGCACGTGACGTTCCACTGACAACTTACATTATATCTCACTTCGTATCACCTCCTGACTCGGGTCCGTCCCTCATGCATTCAGAGTCAGGCAGGTTTCATATTTCATTGATCACCGAGTCAACCTTCTTAAGTCTACTTTTTTTCTACTGTCTATGATCTTTACTGCTAGTTCCGAATCGAATTCCAGGGGTCTCTAAATGGAAAAACCGAGGCAAACCCATAATAATCTCGCACAATCATTTGAATAAAATCTAGGCTGTAATCATGATTACCTACATTATGGCTAGATAAGCCTCAACATAGCTTGTACAAAACTAAATATACAAAAGCACAGATGATTACATACAGTCATGAAATGATACCCAATGCCATTGGCGATTGTATACAAAATTATTCACTGTTAAGCGTGCATTTGTAGCAAAATGTTTCACGACAGAAATCATTTCCACATGTTTACAAAGTCCGTGAAAGTTTTGCAATATGCCGGCTATGCCCCTTTTTTACATAAACGCTCAAATATATTCTCATCAAGAATTGCTGGTTTGGTATGGCTAACAGCCATCGCAACATTGAACATACCTCTTATGAGATATCAGTATCAATATCTGTTAGACGACGAATTCAACACAATAGCACGGACAGTAATGCATTCAATTTGGTTTGCAGAATTTGTGTTTTCGATACTCTTCATAATCCTACTCAATATTAGCAGTGTGAAAAACTGGAGAGCCTTGTTCAGAAATGCTCATATTTTGAACAGAAGCATGCATTTGTTGCAACGCAACAAGCGACGATGCAACTATAGTTATTTTCTAATATATATGAATGTCGTGAGTATGTTATTATTCTACGCTGGCAGATTCTACACGTGGCTAGACATAGGATGTTTCGTTGAAGAAAGCACCTGTTACGTCAACATGTTTCTACTAGTTTTCCTCGAAAACCTATGCACCAACAACTATATTGTCTTTCAAATATGGTTGGTTCGAGTATATGAAGATATTAACGAATATTTGGTACAGCATGAAGATAGAATTGATAGAAAAGTGGTTGAAATGATAGAAAGGTGTTACAAGTATGCTTATGATGTGACAAAAGGTTACAACGATATTTTTGGGCAGGTGATACTTTGGCATATTTGCCTCACCGTCGCCTGGTTGGCATTATCTTCTCTGCTGACTGCAATATATGCGCCTTCGACTGAAAATCGTCAGAACGTTGCTGATATGATTTCTAATATCATGATTGCAGTAAGTATACAGGGTTTCCAAAAAGTATGGAAACATCAAAATATCTCGAAAAATATGTTTCATACAAAAATGTTGTAAAACAAAATTGTGAGGTTTGAAAGGAGTCATCTAATAGGGGCATTGACCGTGACCTTGACTATAACAATCGAGGTTATTTTAGAGGAAAAATGTTCTCGTCTCAGTAAATCCTCGACCGCCATAAAAGTCATGGTCAAGGTCCGCATTTTAGTTGTCCCTTTCTAAGCCCTACAACCTTGTTCTGTTTTCTCTAGAAAACACATATTTCGAGCTATTTTGTGCTATTCATGCACTTTTGTCATCCTCAAAAAGAATAATGCTAAAAATAAAGTTGTAAGGTTTGAAAAGTCACATAATAACGCCATTGACCACGACCTTGATGTCTTATTGAATAGAAACCCCTATTTTTGAACCAGAAGTGATAAAGAGCGTGTAGCATTTCAAGTTCAAGTACAAGACCTTGATCAAGATCAAGATCAATTGGAGCTCAAATTTTCTAGGTAAATATTTTTAATTCCGGAAATGGTAAATGGTGGATAACTTAATGTTCAGATATATATTTGTGTATAACCTTGACCATGACCTTCGGGGTCATTTAGAGGTCAAATAGATTTTTGAATGATATGCTCGTATTCTTGTTTCCGGAAGTGACGACCCAGTAAATCCTCAACCGCCATAAATGCCATGGCGAAGATCATCATTCGTTGTCCCTTTTTGAGCCCTACAACGTTATTCTGTATGGTTTTTCTCTAGGAAACGTATAATCATTATAGTTGTATACACCTTGGGAAAAACCATTATTATACATTATGATGAGGAAGAGAGATGGAAATATACAAAAGTATGTAGGTGCGTGAAAGACACTCGATTGTAGGATCCTATCGGCAGCGTCGCAGTGTGACGGACAACGGGGTAAAGTAGAAGAGTGATAAAAGAGAGAGATGGCAGAACGGGCGCTGGCGCCTACCGCTTAGACGGATGCGCTCAACAAATGCGATTTGTTTCTCCCATTCGCAGAGTTGCCGATACCAATATGTCATATTTCTAAGAAATCTAAGTCTAACCAAATTTCGGGAAAAATAGCTGCGGATTCCACATAAAAGTATTCCAAAAATAAAAAAAGTTCATACTATTAAAATTGTATTAATGTTTCATGGTTCAAACCATATGACTATCAAATAGTAGTGATAAACAGGGTTTGTTTATAGCACAGTTGCCTGGTGTGGCGAATTTGCGCCATAGGGGCGATTTGACAACTTTGAAGGACTATATCGGTTACTATGGTGCCCGGTATTCGGGAATCTGGCAATACCTGATGATTCCTAACGTTTACTACGCCAGATTGTTTGCGGACTTGCGCAGTACAACATGACAATCAACGTGACTGAGCACCTGGTAACCCTGGTTTAAGGTGTTATATTTAAAGAGCCTGGGGCAGTTAGGTATCTAGGTCACATTTTTTAATGCATTTCGAGAAATCCGTAATGTTGAGTAAATACTAGATCACGTTTCTTGCTTAGTTTGCTGAAAATTCTACAATAGACGTACATTTTGAGAAACAGAGATTTGGTGACGAAAAAATCGTAAAAATATAACGCATTTTCGTAAAATAATTTCTTTGTTGAAAAGACTGTGGCGTGATGACCCATTGAACGAGTATAGTGTCCCGCTCCGCTTTGAATATTCGAAACACTATACTCCAGCAGCATTCAGCTTCAATGTTATCTTTAACGTCTAGGCCATGCTGATTAAAAGCTTGAATGAATCAACACTGAACTCTAAATTCCCCACAATTCGGGAAGCTCTGCTCAAATTGGCAACACAGCGTATCTGCCTATTATTCTCATTCGTGATACAGGTCTGCGGTTAATGGTAGGAAATATGTACGAATAGCGATGGAAGTAGACGAGCCGATGCTCTGTTGCCAAGAAATGATTTCCCATGTATAACAATGGTTTTTCCTAAGGTGTATATATATACTAAAAAGGCCATTGACCTTGACCTTGGCCAGAACATACAAGGTTATTTGGGAAGAAACATGTTTTTTCAATAGAAACCCCTATTTTTCAATCGGAAATAATGAGGAGCGGAACATTTCAAGTTCAAGAGTGTCCTGGTACATGACCTTCATTATGACGTTCAAATCATTTGAAGCTCAAATAAATTTTTTAAGGAAAAATATTTTTAACTCCGGAAATGGCACATGGTGTATAACTTTTTGTCCAGATATATTCTTGAAGAAAACTTTGACCATGGCCTTCAAGGTCATTTAGAGGTCAAATGAATTTTCGAATGAGATGCTCATATTCCTGTTTCCGGAAATGACGTCCCAGCAAATCCTCGTCCGCCATAAAATTCATGGTCAAGGTCAAGGTCATCATTAGTTGACCCTTTTTAAGCCCCACAACTTTGCTCTGCATTGTTTTTCTATATAAAACATATATTTCGTGATATTTTGTCCCATTTTGACCATTTGATCATCCTCAAATGACCTTACAGATCATAGTCAAGTTCATGGACAAGTATGTTCTTGTTATTTTTCTGTGAGCAATATATTTTTAGAAATGCTTTCCATACTTTTAGGATACCCTGTATGAACGCAGAGATGTTGATTTGACGACCTACTCGCTGTTAGGGCGACGTTTGAATAACAAATACGGCGACACTATTGCGCGACGTTATGGCTGGTGGTTATAGTCATTGCAATATCAGCATTTGTCGTTCGTCTGTCAGGTCTAAAGGCCCAACAACCAGACAAATTGAAGGAAAGGAAACGCGTGGCACCAGATGGATCTAGGGATTGTTACTATACGAATAATGGCTTTTCCAACTCTAAATTTTGGGAACCATAATTGGTCCGCTTTATAATGCCAAAATTGATAATGACCAAAAACTGTAGATATTGTCGAAGACACAAGTGGATAAAGATGTCTTGTAACATTTTATTGTGGAGTGATACTTTCATTCTGTGATAGCTTTGTTGCATAAACAAGATAATTAAACTAAATATTTAAAATGTCAATGAGGTAAAAAGTCCCAATAAAAAATGTTTAAAGTCAATTTTCTCCATACAGTGATTTTGTTACATGCCACCTTTATCCACTTTTGTCTACAATTGCGCGGAGCAATGTATTGTGTTTGACTGAATATTCAGTCACTCAAAAATTACGGTGCCCCGTCATTTGGAATTTGGATGTGAATGCTTCTATAGAGATAGAGCATATGTCATAAAATAGAGCAGCTGAAAAAAACGGAGTGATGTCACATCAAACTCTTTGGAGTTACGGCGATTGTCTGTTTTGACAGTGGGCCCGGGGCTGATCCAACGAGGGCGCGTTGGCAGGATTGTCATATAATTAATAGATGCAACGCTAAAAACACGAATTTTTTAGTGTTGTGATGATTTTATGTTTTCCTTCATCTATACGTACAAAACTGCGAGGAACGGTTGCACCTACACCTAAAAAATCTATACGACAACGACCATACCTCGATTTAAGACCAAAATTATACGTAACCTACGCTTTGGGAACAATTTAAGGAAGGAATAAAATAGTGGATATTTTCTTTAGAAAAGCCAAACATCACAAATTAATAGTAAAGCAAGTGATTCTTTGATAACTTGTATCATTATTTGTATTTTAATTCTATGCACAAAAACAGTTATTACTACAACGGCCAAGAGAAAAACTTTCAAATTATCTTCAAATTTCTGAAATGGCCGCTAGGAGGCGCAGCTGCAATCTGTCAATTTATTGTATTTTTCATATATACCCATAGTGAAAACACATTCAATCTTGTCACGGTCAGTATGACAGCTTGCTTGTCATGGGCGTGTGATTTGCGTTTATTGATGTTAATCTTAGTAGTACTGCAACGTCGATAGTCTGTATTGAAAGTATTTTCAAGAGATGAGTGAAAACAAGGGTCTTCTATCACCCAAGTCATGCATGTGTACAAGAGCGAATAGCAGCCGAATTACGGATTGGCTTGCAGAATGTTTAAATTCCCTCAGGAAAGTTAAGCTATGCACAGGTACCATTAGTCAATCTGCTTACTAATGTCGTATGGCATGGTGACGTAACCGCCAAAGAACCTGAAAAGAACTATAGTTCCATCCATCTATTTTTTACTAGTTCAAGATGCTTGACGTACGGCTGTGTCTTTCTGACTTCTTTTTTCGAGCATTATTGTTTGACATTGTCACGCACACAAAATTACTTCTCTTCCCCTCAACGGGTGTTCACGATTACTGTATGGATTACAGTTCCTTTGGCGTTATTACTGACAGTATGTAATATTTTTGGTTGCAGTTCCCAATGATAATGACGATCATGTCTTTCGACGCGATCGAAAGAAGCGGCGCTGCAGTGATCAACACCTGTTACCTCCTCCATTCCAGAGCGGCCAGTGAGAATGTCATGGAACACCTGCGCAACCTGACGGTCTACACAGAGAGGTGGAGACCTACGTTTACAGCAGCAGGCTTCTACACTGTCAACAGGAGTTGTATCCCTTCGATTTTTTCTTCGCTTGTCACGTATTTGGTCATTATTATACAGTTTAATGTTATGTTTGAGTCTCCTGATAAAGGCCAAAAAGACCAAAATGATGCGTTGCATGGTAACAAATCATTGATTCCTTAGGATATCTATCCCTGTATAGGGTGTTACAAAATAACATACCACTGCATATAGAGCACTAAAATAATGCTACAACTGGCAGCCGAACTAGCAAATATTTTTTATAATTTTCGACTGTCCGTGGTATTTCATATTATAGTTGCTTTCTTATTGCCCTTAGAATGCAATTTTTGATTTAATATAAATGTCAGTAAGACAATTAAGCTTTTAAGAGGTATTATGCTTTATGAAGTAGTCGTAAGAGAATATGAGCTAAAATACAAGACAAGTTTTAATACGGTTTAATAATAATAATAATCAACGTCTTTTATTAATTTGTAATATTTTTATAGTAGGCGAGATTTAGATTATATATCTATTCTACCATCTAACCCCTTTAACAATACGAGATGTAAAAAAACAGAATTTGTTACCTGTATACAATAACGACAGAATAAAGTATAATCTAAGTAAATGCATAAAGAAAATATGAGGCCACTTATGGGTTACAACAGATTTCACTGCTGATCAAGTAGGACTTCTTTCACTTTTTTCTTGAATTTGGGTAATGGATTGGTTTCTTTTAAACTGCGGTCTATAGTATTATATGATTTGATCGCATTGTAAATATATGTATTCTGAAATAGAGATGTGCTGTGGCGTGGAATTGAAAAAGTCTCTCTATATCTAATATTAATGCCATGCATATGCCCTCTACGTATGGATTTGTTTACTAAATATGACGGTGTTTTTTAATAAAGAACCTTGCGAGTCAGATTTAGGAGCTGGTACTTATACATTTTATCAATTTGCATCCATTTGAGTTCATTGATGGCATTCGATATATGATCATACTTTTTGAGACCATTTACAAGTCTGCAACATGTATTTATAATACCTTGGATACGATTTCTTGTTATAATATCCAAATAGGGGTATTAAACCACTAAGCAATAGGATATCTTTGAAAACAAGAAAGATTCACACAACTGCTTTCTCGCAGATTTATGTAATATAGCCTTATTTGCAAATAAAACTCTGAGAATAGCGTAGCACTGAGAAATTAGATAGTTTACGTGTACAACAAATTTTAAGTCATTATCCATTATAATACCTAGGTTCTTCGAATGATCCACAGGAACTAATTTATTACCTTTTAAGTGTATGTCTATGTCCTTTTTTAAAGTGTTCTGTTTTGTTCTATTTGCGTATACCAACATATTTGTCTTCAAAGGGTTCAAACGAAGTTCATGACTACTACTGAACTTTTCAATTTGGGCAAGATCTTGATTAATTTTATTATTTGCTGTTTCCAAGTCATTACTCCTAAATGAATAGAAATTTTTAGTATCGTCTGCAAAAAAATGTATACTGCATGATTTTACCTCTGTTTCTAAATCTGAGATATATAATGAAAATAATCGGGGTCCTAAGACTGATCCCTGTGATACACTAGAACAAATTTTTTGTTCGTTAGAGTACTGTTGAATTAGACGAACTTTTTGATACCGATTTTTAAGGTAGGTTTGAATAAACGAAAGAGGTTTTTCAGAAAATCCATAATAACTCCTTTAGACACAACAAGTGAGTGGTTAATGGTATCAAATGCTTTAGTAAAATCAAGGAGTATGAGAGCTACTGCTTTTTGATTATCAGGTGCCATTGTTATATTGTCTGTTAAATCACAGAGTGCCGAAGCAGTATTATGACCCTGTCGGAATCCAGATTGTTTAGATGGAATAATGTTGTTAGAATATAAGTAGGCGCAGAGCTGCTCGTAAACAACGCGTTCCAATACTTTAGAAAAAATTGGCATTAGACTGATCGGTCTCAGTTGACCATAGATAGTAGGATCAGAACACTTAGGTAGCGGAACAACTATAGCGTGTTTCCACTGATTGAGAAAATATCCCCTCTCTAAACGGCAGTTGATAATATGTGTTAAGTACACATCAATTTCAGGTATACATAGTAGTATCATATGCAAAGTTATTCAATCTGAACCACTATACTTTCATTTTATTTTATGTATAATTTCAATAACGGTGTCAATAGTTACTTTATTAAATTGAAATTTGGATTTTAAGTTATTTTTATTAGCTCGGTAATATGCAACTTTATCAGCACAACCCTAATCACTATTCTCGAAAATTGAAATGAATGCCTCATTTATTTTAGACGGATCTGATAAGCTCACGGGAATTGTAGAATCTTTCTGAGATTGCACTTTGAAAGTAGTTAGGGTATTATAAAACTTTTTTATATCCCGATTTTGAACAGCTTGTAAATAATCTCTTTTTCCTCTCCGCACGAGCGTTAATGCACAATTTCTGAAATATGTATACTGTTGCCAAGAAGCGGCTCTACGATCACGTTTGAACTTTGACAAAGCTTCAGCTCTCTGCTTGAATACAAGTTTATTATCATCCAACCAAGGAGCTGGAGCTTTGCTTACACGGACTACCTTTTTTGGACAGTGAACATGAAATAAACATAAAATACTATCTGTTAAAAAGTTAATTTTATCTTCAATGCCATCTATCTATATAATATGCCACCATGGAAAACTATTGATATGTTGTTCAAACGCTATTTCATTCAAACTATGGAAATCCCTGAATGTCACAAATTTCTGTTGATTTTTAGGAAGTGCAATACGTATATCACAGAACGTTAAATAGTGATCAGTAATCATATCAGCATTAATAGTGCCACTTCTAATGTAAACAGACTTAAGATAGTTGATATTGGTTTTCATTCTCATCCTGCCAAATACTCGATATCGTGATGTCAATAAAAATCAATGCGTCAGGAATAGATGGTATAACTTTGAAAATGTTTAAATTGTGTTTACCTTATTATTTAAATGCTATAACATAATAAACTTTTCATTGCGCTCAGGACAAATCCCTTTAGACTGGTAACATGCAGTTATAATTTCAATTGGACGAAAGGATAGTGTATGTCAGCCTGAAGATTTGAGACCTATTAGTTATCTATCTAAAATTTTGGATAAAGTCGTACATCTCCCATTAAATTAGTATTTACAAAAATACAATTTTTTGTCTCGGAAACATCTGGATTTTGTACTGGATGTGCTACTGCGTCAGCGTTGACAGACATTGTGGATGACGCCTTGACCGCGATGGATACTGTGACTCACATATAATAATAATTTATATTGGAATGTATATACATAAAAAATATAAAAACGACAGCATTCCAAAAGGAAAGAGGATTGGCACGGCCATTTTTCACCTTCCCCTAAAAAGTTAATTTCATGAGCGTTTTTTTAACTTCAACAGAATGATTAGTATTCCCAACAAATATTATGCACAACTCAGTATATAATACGATATAGTCTGAGTGTTAATGCAGGATAGTGTAGCAAGCGCCATAAATTTAATTTGTGGATTCAAATCTTTGCAGCTGTAATAGCACTTTTTCCATCTCATTTCTGAAGTTTTGGATGGAAGGTGCTTCAAAAAGCTCTAAATGATCGCTCAGTAGATATGGTGCCGTGTAAGTGAAATTTTTTTGAATATAGACGTTGTATGAACTGGAATATTGAAATAGGCATTGTTGCGTAAGGAAACTTGGCGGAGTGAATATCTTTTCTCCAAAGCAATAAACATATATCTGGGTAATTTATATTTTAAAACTTTATACAGTAGAGTTCCATACTGAAGTAATACACGATACTTGAATTTTAAAAGATTTTCTCTCACACAATATCCAGTAATATTTTCTTGTATATGTACGAGTATATCTTTGAAACAGAATCTCATGCAGCAGTTTTGTAATACTTGAATTTTGTGCTTCATTTCTTCCGTAAGAAAATTATAATATACTAAATTTATATTTAATTATAAAATCAATGAATTAACTTCATTTGGCTTGCAAGCCTCATACATTTGTACATGATCAGCATATAGATGTATATTCCAATCATGTAATATAAAATTTAATAAATCAGATGTACAGAATGAAGCTGATGGCTCTTCATGAACAATTTCACTCATAGCTGCCACTAATTTACGTGTACGTACTGGACGAAGTTTGCGAAAGGTACTTTTTAAAGATCATCCGTTTTCGTAATATTTTTCGACCACCAAAATGCGTTCTTGCGTTGTTAAAGAATCCGTAATAACCGACCTTTGATAGTTCATTTGTGCTAAACACATGGCAGTTGTCACATTTAACATGTCAAAAAATGGTAGCTGAAAAAAGAAATAATAGATAGAACACCTGTTATATATATATATATATATATATATATATATATATTCGCCCACATACATGTGAGGACCCCCCATGTAAAATTTACATACAAAGTGAGGACCGCGACAAAGTAAGGTTTGTATACGGACCTCACTTTGTCAAACCCTGCGTATCCTTAAGAAAACGTAAAAAACAAATGGTCCTCAGTTTGTACCCAGCATTCTAAAATTTGTATATCGTACTTGGACGTTCCGTCGCACCCAGCGCTGCGCGCGCGGAATATATTTTCCGTACGTGTGTATTTTGCAGTCAATAGCAACCGTGCGACGCATCAAGTGAGGACTGCGAGCAAGGCAACAACGGCCGGTCCTCGGAAAATTATACATATACATTATATATTTCTTATAGGGGAATAATAATCAACATCAGCCGACGATACGATACGATGTGTCAGGCTCACTCGACTGGCGTCACATAGGCCGCGGTAAAGACGTCGGGTGAACTATAAGGCGTGTTTATGGTTTATGAAATGGGTCTCGCAATATGAAAGCAGTACTAAGTAGATAGCTTTTTGGTTTATAAGAGGACGCGATTTTCATCTAACACTAAAAAGGTGGCGTTTTAGGTGATAAAGCTTTGAGACAGCTACTACTGACCTTGCGCTTGGCAAGTAACACTTGTCAAATTGTCACTACAGAGAGCGTGAGCGGGAATGGAATCCGAGAAACGCATTTTATACAAGAAAGTTTTGAGACTGCCCGCAACGAACTTGCAGCTAGATGGTAAAACTTGTCCCATTTGTGTTGTCAGAGAGGGGACCCTTCTGCGAGAAATTGCTTTAATACTAAGCTTGAAGATGTAAGAGATATTTGACAGATCCAACTTTTGAACTCTTCAAGGTCACTAAGCTGGGAGAAACTAAGATCAACCTTACCTGCCAGTTCTTGATGAACAGAGTTCCTAAGAGTTAACATGTGCAATGGAAGTGTGGCGGGTTTGTCTGGTAGGATTAACGTGAGGCGGCCATCATGATTGTCTAGAAGCCATTTTATATATTCAAAATAAATATTTCCAGGACATTTAATTTCTCGATTTGGTGATGTCAACTGGCCACCAAGGTCACCGGATTTAATGGCTCCTGACTGTTTTATGGGGATTTTAGAAAAATAGGGTTTATGCCAACAAACCAAGTACTGCAGCTGAAGAACAGTATTACGGAAACGATTGAAAATATTCCTACCAAAAAGTGATGGAAAATCTAAGCAAGAGGGTTCAGGTGTGCGCGACTTCTAGAGGCGGTCATTTGTCTGATATTATTTTTCACCATTATTAGGCAGCTATAGAAGCATATAAGCATATTTAAGTCATTCGATCCAAATCGTGATCTTTGGCACCCATATTAAAAAATGGTCGTCAAGCTGTAAAACGGTCATCCAACATACATTCGAAATCAGAGAGCCGATTGAACTTCCTTTTTTAAAGCTAACATTTTATGATTATACATTCTTTGAATAACTCAGCAGTTAT